GCATTTTGCGCCGGTTATGTCAAGCATATTTTGCCCTCGAAGTCAGGTGTTTGTTACATCGATTTGCTAAAAAAATATAACATGCTGCAAATCCGAATATGTAAATTTTGTGAACAGTGACAGTGCGGCCACCCAATTCTTCATGACGTTGCAACAACTTTACATGATATATTAGCAGTAGTTACCTTAGTGGACGGTGAATAATCAGTGTCAAACACGTGATCTTTGTACATGCATTTCCCCGGTTATTCGGTCTTTCTCCGTACATGGAATAACTGAAAGTTGCTAGTTGTTTAGTAGTAATACTTCCCAATATTTCTACTGCACTGTGGAATTTATATAGCACCGCTCACCGAGCAGTTTGTTTTTGATAATTTAAACAGTCTGGTAAACTTTCTAAAATCATACTTTCTCCACAGAGGGGGGGGGGGGGTTGAGGGGCAATACATAGAACTTGCCTAATGGGGACAAGCCCCTGAAATGGGTATAGTTTTTTGGATTTTAGGACTTTCCCCTGGACCACAATGGCGAATGCAGGCATATGGCCATGCAATAGTCACAGTCACCAGCTTTTTTTGGTGGAAAACAAAACATTTCATATCGCTATGTCCCTTGATCTGGAATTAGATGTGCATTACCTATGGAATACGTAATTAACAATAGAGAATAAATTCGTATAGATCTACCCCACTACGAAAAACATAACAAGCAAAGACACATTAAACAAATTGTAAGTCAAAATACTTTTACTGCGGCTCCATAGTATTTACAGTATGTAATAGGAAAACCTTATAATTTTGCAAACAATGAATGTTTAGTAAAACTGAAAAAAACAAAGATTGGCAATTTTGTTATTTACAATTTATCGCTACGTTGAAACAATATTGATATGTACTGTTATTTGAACCAGGGCAGAACTTTATGAATAAAATGCAATGAATTGACTGTACAGAAGGTTTCACTTTCAAAACAATGGAATCAAGTAAGGTCAGGTTGCACCACTGCATTTTTGATGCGTTTCCAAAACACATTGTTCGTCAACATAAAATATGAATGTGTGCAACATGACGGCCGTGTCACTGTGATGAACAGGTGGTTTGGGAAAATCTCCCCAGACGATGGAAACTTATTTTGCTGTATATGAACAAAAGCATTATGCTAATTTTGCTCCAACAGCATTATGAATAATAAAATAAGGATTAGTTATTCAGAAAATAAATAAATTTCTCGACAGTGGAATAAATCCCATTCCCCGGACGTATTTGTATTACTGATTAGGTTGAAACAAAAATTACCGGTAACGCCGACGATGAAATAAAATTGTCATACTGCATATGATTAACTTCGTAAACTACCACCTTTTTCAACCACTGCGAGATGAATGAGTATTTGGATGAACTGCATGACAGTACAATCAGTGTCAAATTTGTACCAGTAGATTCATTGTGTTGCCTTTTACCATGTACCCACATCAAATATGGAAAGTGGGGGAAAAAAATCAGTCATTTACAGACTACAGTATCCTCATGTCCAGTTGACTTCTTAGTTGTTAAAAAATTTGAACTGTTCCAAAAAGTACACACTTTTATAAATTTGCTGTTTTTGATTTTAATATAAATAACTAAAAATTGAAAATTTAAGACATCCTACGCTGTTTTTGTTTTTCTCATTAACATTTCGGCACATTATACTTTTATTATTGCTCACAGTTTAATAATTTCGATTGACACGTGTTCAGGAGATTTGATTGGTTGACTCGGCACTAGCTACTATATAGAGAGTTGTTGAAAATAAAGGTGCAAGGAAAGTACTGCTGTTGAAATTACTAGTTAATTGCAACAACACCACTCATTGGCTATCTCACCCAATCACCAAACTGTCCAGCCAATCAGAAGAAGCCTTGTATGTACTTGATTTTATAGACAGAAATTCTTTTGATTAGACTTTTTGAGGATGCTACAATGATTAAATTCCATGTCACTGATAGTCTGGTTAACTACTGTTCTACCAGTTACAACTCTCCATCGACATCTGGACCAGACATTTTGTCTCCACAGTCAGTAGGTTTCTGTAACATTGAATGGCTAATGTAACATGCTGCAAAAACGAATATGCAAATTTTGTGAACAACAGTTTTTCGTTTTTCCCATATCAACTGATAGTTGCCATGTAAGTGCGACCATCCAATTTTTTCATGACATTGCAATAAATTTACATGATATATTAGTAGCTACTCCAGATGTTAGTGGTGAGTGAATAACCAGTGGAACTATAGTCAGGTAATCACATTTAGCATTACAAATGTTGTGACTTATTTTGTGCAATTTTACTTACACATTTACATATCTACAATAAAAATTATTATTAACATAAAACACATTACACATCTCATTAACATAATTATGAAAGCATGTCTCAAAACAATAATCATGCTTGATACGACAAAAACGAAGTAAGATTTGACGCTCACGTATGTGTAACCATATATGGTTGAGACAAATTTGATTCAGATTGTGAAAGATAGTTACATTTCAAATACTCTCAGATACAGTGATTTAATATGTCTAGCGGAACATTGACGAGCGGCGAACACCAACGGGTACTGAATCACGGTTTTAATTTCAACACATCACCTGTTGAAAGCGATTGCGAACAGCCGATATATTACGGCATCAGCAGCCGATGTATTGTGTAAGTCAATACTGCAATGCTGTTTAATAGTTCATGCACGTATAGGGGATTGCACGCAGAAAATGTAATAGACGCAAGGCATAAACGGCTGCCGAGATGTCTTTTAAAATGAGAGATCCATGTGGCATGTTTTTGTCACTCAAGTGTTCCATTCTCTTGTGTCTAGTGTTCCAACTACCATGGGTCAGAGGAACAGTGGATAAGCATTGAGGGGCGAAGACAAGTCGCGTGGCGCTTTCTCTCTCACTCTCCACGAGATCTCAGCATCCATTTGCCAGTCTAACGGTAAATTTCTATAAACTGCTTGATTCACACAAGATATAATTCATGACTTGGCAAAATCTGGGAACTAAGCCTGGGAACAAAGCAGCTGTGAACATTTCATCATGGCTACTATCAATACAGCTAATATAATAGAGTCATTGATACAAAAATGAAAAGTTTACAAATTGATTTCTTTACAAACAGCGTGAAATACATAAATCAACATTGACTTGTAATAAATACCCTTGACCTTTAAAGGTTAATGAGCTCATATTGCTTTCAGTGGCAGATAATTGAAATTACCCCATTTGTTCCATTACTAACGTAAATGGCATATCTATGGTCAAAATAAGTATACAATAAATACAATATTTGGTTTACATGTGCTTCTATTGGAAATATACTTTTAATAGAGCAAATATGAGAATAGAAAATTTGGAATTGTGCCTTCAAACTTAGCACACATGCTAGACACCTGACTTAACACCAACGCATGACTGGCTGACTAGCTTGTCAAACAAAATTATTCAATATTCAGGGTACTGGGCTATTTGGTTGAACAATTATTCATATGGACTTTATGAATCTGAAAGACAGGAATTATATTCCTTGTTTGATAACATCAATGGTATCAAAAACAAGGACAAATTTATATGTATTATGAATGCCCATACTAGACAACAATTACTGGGGTTAATTAAATATATCAAAACAGCGTATACAATAAGAGAGCAAATAATATTACCACAGTAGTTTACTTTTTCTTGTTTGTTTGTCACACTTTTTGTTTTGTTTGTTTTTAACTTTATTACCTTCTACATGTGTAGAAACCAAAAAAGAATTGTCAAATTTTCTTTAACGTTGTAATAAAGCAATATTCTATTCTAATGGAAGGACCACTGTATTATGTAAATGTGCATGCACAATATTTAGTCACAGTTTGTTTCTGACTTCATGGTGAACACATACTTATCCCCTAACATAAAAAGATATCCTATTTTAAGGATATTCCTTACAAATTACCCTGCTTTTCCAAAATTCAGTACAAAAAACAAACAAAACCTATTGTTGCTAGTGCACGTCTTATTTCCACCACAAATTAAGGAACGTGGATGCAATACAATCCAGGAGTATACGCATCCACCCAAGGTGTCCAGAACAGCAACCATAGTTTCAAGACCTATGAACGCGCATAGACTCTCAGCTGATGAGTGGTGTGTCACCTTTCAGTGCCAGTTCAAAAGTTATACAATGAGAACATGTTGACAAGATTGTTGGAGTATAAAAAAGAACAGTTATCATTTTCAATCCAAATTAAAAAAAAAAAAAAAAGCAGAATGCAAACAAATCAGATTAATTGCAAGGTGGACAGCTGGCCTAGTAATACATGAAATTAACACTCTTATGCTTTTGATGGAGGAAACATGATACCGGGTAATTATAAAACACGACATCAAAATAAAAATATCAAAAATTATCTGTTAAATTACAGTGGTATAAAGTTTTAGCAAATAAATATTATATACACCTTATTAACCCTTCAAAATAAATTGCTACAAAAAACACACAGTATTCAAATAATTGTAACTTATCTTTTGTTTTTGACATTTAGCACACAGTTTAAAAAAAATATAGACCAACTAATTAAGAATTAATCCTGAGATTTTTGGGGTTTTTTTTTCTCGAAGCTTGAAATCAGCATGAATTGTTTATTATCAAATACCTAGTGGGTCTTATTTGAGTATACCATATGCAAATGAATCCAGGATATAAACGCGACACAGCTGTACATACTGATGGGTGAACACATTTTGCCAATATCCAATATCGAAGTTCTATCATGGTTAAAAAATGTTGCAAGATCTTTACCTCTGGCACAATTTACATTTTGTTCCCCCCCCCCCTCCCCTCAGGTGTAACATAATATAATAAAGTGTATCAATTTAAACCAGATATGACCCCTTAAGTTGATAACATAAAGCAACTAAACCATTTGTGATTTTAAGCCTTGTACTATGTTTAGATGAAATTGGTAATATTTTTTCCTTTTGATTAAATTCTCAATTTTTATTGTCCAGCAAAAAAGCGTCTGACTGAAAACATTAATCGCTATGATCACTACAACTATGATGCTAATTATTAAGGCAATAGCTACCATGAAACCATACCTCTGTATCTAAACACAGATTGTGAACTATACATGTGGTTGTAACTACAAGATGAAACAACGCTGCATACTTTCACTACGCCCTGCATAACATTCAGACCTGCTGCCCCACGGTAGGTAGCAGGCAAGTCATAGTAGACACAGATAATTCAAACAAAACTAATAATACCATATTTGCCCTATTAGAAGTGCATCTGCAATACAAGTGCATATTTTATGTTATAAAGTTTGAACACAAAGCATTCAGGTCAAGTCATTGACTCTATCATAAAAAGAGCAAATACTGTATGCATAAACCTACACTGCAGTGATGGAGTCTAATGGTGAACCTGAATAGTGTACTCTGTATCTAGTCTACTTCAAAACATTACCTTTTACCTAGCTTATTATATTACCCAGCATGCAGCATGTAAGGCTAATAATTTGAAAGTTTTTACCTATCTCCCCTGCACCATAACAGAACTACATCATACCTAGTCAGCACCTTTTGATTATTTTACTTGAATGCAATCTTTTGCATCAAGCCTGTACCTTACCCTGTACCCAACCTGCCCCCTTAGTGTTATCTTGCACCCAGCCTGCACCTTGTAGTTTTACTTAGTACCTATACTTTTTCCCCTGATAGTGTTCAAGTTACAGTTATTAGACTTACAGGTGTACATTTTTCTCAATTATTTTACAATTCTCAATTATGTCTATACAGTAATAACTTCTATATAATTTAATACAAAAATATCAGGTAAAAATAATGCAAAGCAGATTGTGGATTGACAAGCAGAGGAAACACCAAGTGAAGCATATCCTGGGGCAGACAGCATTATTGTCATATGAACAATAGCACCATTACACAGTTGAGTCAAAGCATATATAAAAGACAGAATTTAATTCGTTGAAAAAAAACCTGTCAACAAACAAGCTACTCTCTGATTGGTCCGAATGTTAGAAGCAAGGAATAGGTAGCCAATCAGGAACAATCTTGTAAGTAGCTTCACATTGACTCCATAAATCCTCCTGCTTCTGCTAAAGGTGTGCAACGGTTGCGTACACTCTCAATGGTAATATTTCATCGATTTTGAATTGTAAATTCTCCCCTTGTAACACAGCATGTTCTTGCGATATGGCCGCCAGTTCTTTTAGAAATTCTTCAAATATTATTGCAGCATTGGCCACTTCTCTGTACTTTGTCTGCATGTTATCGCCACAGCCTTGGATTGCATGTAGCTTTTGTTTCTCTTTGGCCTTAATTGACTTCTGTCGACGCCCGCTCCCCCGTCGCAAGAAGAAGTCACTGATTCCACTCTTCTTGGGAGCTGTGATTGGGTAAAAAATAGTTTGACAATATAGATAATGGAGAAGACACGATAGACTTAATTTAGATAACAAAAGAATGTAGTAGTGTTGAAAATATTAAAAGGTATAATTAGGGCAAAATGGTAGCCAAAATTAATATGCTAATTTGATTCATACCAGTTGCATCATGGTGGGTGCTCTGGGAAATAGTGCTGGCTAGGTTGATTTGAAGCCAAACTGTGACTCTACGCACATCTTGATATAAAGATACACTAATGATTTCACTTGTCTGTTTGAATATTTTATGTAGTACATGTATGATTGTTTTCAGCCGAAATGTACCATGACACAAGCAGAATTCTAGTTTAAAATGGCAGCTAATGTATGCAAAATGCCTGTTAATCAGTTTGAGTAAACTAGAATGTAAATCCCTTAGATGTTTATTCAATCTACAAAGCTTGTTGGTTTACTAACAGTACAATGATTACATAGTTTTTCAAATCACCATTAGCATACCAATGTGCAAAAAAGAAGTAATAAACAGTTTGGCTTGGACCTCCTGGATATCATGGCGGATTGTCTTACACAACTACTGTAAAATACTTTATTTTCACTTCAAATTTATTTTTGCAATTTTCACTGAAGGGATGATTCAGTGAAAATAAAATCCAGTGAATATACTATTTTTTTCGATATTTTACATTCAACTCATCAACAATCAGGGACAAGAAATTAACTACAAAACACTCAAAATATCTTTTCAGCGAAAATTAATTCTAGCTAAAATAAAGTATAATTTTACTGTATGTAGCAAGAATGTGTTAAAGATCTCAACAAAATATATACTATGCAAAAAATGTGTGGGTTCCCAGATTCAAGAAATTCATGAAAATTGATCTCTCCCAAAAATAAAGCGGTTTACGTTACTTTCAGGAATGTGTAATATGGCCAGACACAAAAGACAGACCTCCTATAACACATACCTTTCGGCCTAGCGTTACTGTCGACATCAATCTTACTTAGAGTTCTACCCCGTGTTTTCTCTCCATTGACAGGTTGATCTCCATGTGTAAGAGTTAATCTAGCTTGGCTCACCAGGCTGCTGAAGGTATCAGTTCTGTATGCATACATCTCTATATTGCTTTTCACGGATATTAAAACCTTCAAAAAAAAAAAAAAAGGAAGAACAGAACTGTTCAGCAAACCAATTCAAATGCTAACGATATTTAAAACTTCTCACACTTGAGCGTCAGGTTTATTGCTAATCGATAATAATTTTTCAAACACTAGATAAGAAATGTACCGGTAAGTCTTTTAAAATACTGATGACATATCAGAGATTAATTGTTTTTAAATGCTTTTGTGCCAGGCGACATTTTCAAGCATTGAATTCACAGCTGTTTTTCCAGAATTTGGTGCTAATTGCAAGTGAATGTGCAAACCAGTCTTCCAAACTGAGTGTTTGCAGAGTAAACAGTCTGAGAAATGAACCCACAACCTCCCTGATCAAGTACAAGTACATTATTGACATCGAGAGATAGTTTAATTATAGTATGAAGTAAAGCGATATATGTTTCCAGCATCTTCCAAGGTCAGTCACAAATCACAAGTTTCATGATTTGAATAAGCATATGATTTGAAATACATTCATGTAACATTTTCCATGATATAAAATTTATCGCGGTTTACGCTCATGTTGATATTTGCATTCTAAAACCAACACCTTGAATGATAACTACGTACCTGTAAAAGTGACCGTACACTCGGTTGAAACACCAACTCTGTGTTCAGCAGAAAAGACGACAATAAAATCTGCGGATATGATCCAAGTCGACTGATTACGGCCGTTAACAACAGATTAACTTCAACAGGGTTTTCAATCATGTGTTCAAGTCTTGCAAACAGGGCTGATATAAAGGGGCCTGTAATGAGAAATATTATAAGTGAATGTTAATATTGAATGTTGATTGCAAAAGCTACCTCAGTGCTTAAGCACTGTCAAATTAGGAAGAAACTGTTGGTATATACAAAAGAAGGGTTTCAAGCTATAGCGCCATCAATCAGTTTTCAGGCAAAAATGGGGTTGATTTCGTGCTCAAGTAATTTGTTCGCTGGTTTCCCCGGGTTCCTGGCATTCTGATGAGCTATCAAATGTTTATGTAGCGAAATTACACCCCCCCCTACACAGATGAAATTGGAACGTCTCTACGCAAGAGCGTTCAAATTAAGAAATCTTGTCTATTGATTGAAAAAATGAATAAATCTTTTCAATTTATGAGTGGGCTTCCTCCTTAAACTACACTTCAAGCAGTCATGAGTCTGGTTATTATGAATATAAAGCATTTGTGAATTAAATTATTGAGATACCTGTAACTGATGACGGATGATCACTTTGATTCGTATCAGCGAAATCATCAAAATCATGATTCCTCAGCGATGCTGGTGGTAAAAGATGCGCGTCCAGTTCCCAGAAATCATACAGTTCATCAGTGTTCGCATTGATGATCTTTTTTTCGCTCTCCTCATTATTAATACTGTTTTGTTCAACAGATTCCTCATCCATTGTTGTAACGCTATCCAGCGCTGGTCGTTGACTCCATCTGTCCATGATCCATTCGTTATCTTCGTCATAGTTATCCATGGACTGTGAGGTCAAGCCGACACTGGAACTCCAGGAATGTTGCCGGAGGAACTCCTTCCGACTGTATAAGTTATCGAACCACTCCTCTAAGTAAGTGATGGTAAATTCGCTCTCCTCTTCCTCGTCATTATTGTCCACGTCCTCCCCAAACATAGTTTTAAGAAACTTTCCCATGTCTGAGAATGCATCATCGCTAGATTCACTGGAATGGGACTCCCTTGGCGAGAGGTCATCTTCAAAATTATCAACGCTGTTTGAATCTTCGTCCGCGTCCTGCCACCACTCAAACTCTGACTCAGAAGACTGGCTGGACATAGTCCCACTGTCAAGTCGTCTTCTACCGTCGTAAGTATTTGACCAGCATAGACAAGATCTGTAGCAGTCCTCCACAGTTTTCCTACTATCTATCAAGTAATGAAAATAATTTTCCTCCGTGTTGTCAGCAACGAAAGAGTTACTGTACTCGTCATGAGATGTGCGAGACACCATCGTTGATGTCGTTGATAATAAACTGGAATGTTTTCTTGAGATGCAAAAGTTTGGTATCAGAGATAGAAATTTAT